TTTGCTCACACTTTCTTGCAAATTGTCTGTTTTGCAGTTGTTGTTCCCATTAAGAAGGACATTTCCCCCCATCGATATCTTCCAGAATTCCCCTGGCAGAGTGAGCTTACTTGGCTCTTTCCACTAGCACAGCAGAGACCAGTTAAATGTTCTCCCTAGGTATGAGTGCAGACTGTGGATGTCATTTTGGAGAAGGAAAAAATACTGCTCCAAGCAACTTGGCCTTGTGTGCAGTTGTACATCTCTACTGGTGTGCAATCAGTTGAGGCTAAACTGTTGACATGGCCCTGTGGGCTTGGTGCACTGTATTCAGGCCCACCCTGGGGATGGGTGGGTGATGCAACACCCCCTTTCCCCTGAGTAGTGTTGAATGTTTGACTGATCAGAAAAGATTTGGTTAACTGTCACATAACAGTCAAGAATTTTCAAAGCATTAACTTTTATGATGACAACAAACGCTATAATCATTAGATCACTGTTATAGGGAAACAAGGCCATTATTATTATTATTATTAAAATCTAATTTTGTTAGGATACCTGGCAAGGCATCTATAAATGCAAACAATTCACAGGTCCTAAAATCTTTTGGTCCCAGGCAGGATTCCTATGAACTTTAGGAAGCTTCTGAGAGTAGAAACGGAGATCTCATTTTTGGATTCCCCCTTCCTGCTGTGGAAACTCTGCACTACCAATATGGCAGCTCAGACATCAATAGGGCTGAGAAGGTGTAGACCTGGGGAAGGCTTGGATCTAAAGCCTTCCCAGTCCTCTGACACACCCCAAACTGAAGATTAAACCCCAACAATGAAATCGATGCTAGGGGAATAATTTAAATCAGAGGTTTTCAACCTTTTTGAGTCTATGGCTCCCTTAACCAACTACATTCTTTCTGTGGCACAACATTGGGCTGAGGAACCCAGTTATATCACCCCCTGCCTGCAGAGTTGGCAGCCTCTCACCCTTTTTCGAACACCCTTCCTTGTTGAGTGTTCCCTCAGCCTCCTCTCCTCTCCCCTCTCTACTTGGGAGTCCTCTGAGCAGCTGCAGCTGCTGCTGCCCCCGGTCTCTGAGCCGCCCCCCACCCCAAAGAGAGGGGCCTCCAAGAGGCACCATTCACCTGCAGAGTTTATAGTCAGGGCTGCTGCAATAAACAGTTGTGCAAGCCTTTGGGAGGCAGAAACGTAAGAGGGCATCAGAGGAGGGAGGGAAGGAAAGAGGGATGGAGGCCTGTGTTGCCCGTGGCACCTCTAACCATCACTCAAGGCACCCCAGGGAGCCACAGCATCCTGGTTGAAAATCACTGATTTAAACAAATGTTTAAAACCCTAGCCAAGGACATAGGCGAGCAAGAGTGAACCTGCACCCTCTTTCCTTATAAGCTGCCTTTGGCTCCCACCACTCTCCCCTCCCCAGTTTTAGGATTTCAGCCTTGGTATTCTATTTGGATTGTATCCTAGAACTGGAGGGTGGGCCTTCAGTTGCAAAACTGCATGAAAATGAAAACAGAAAGAAAGCAAAGTACAGTACAGTACAGTACAGTACAGTTAAAAAGCCAAAGCTCCCTTTTTAAATGCAATAGTGCTAGGTAAGCAGTGATCCCTCCAACAGCAGCTGTTTTCTTCTTTTCCTCCACCATTATCATTATGGAATCTTAACCACTATAGGGAAAGGGAGTAAGAAGCCCTTGTTCCTATCGTTGCTAAGAAAGGAAGCATCATAAAATAAAGCAGGCATTCCTGGAATATTTATTCAAGCAGTTGAGACAAAAACAGTCCTTGAAACTTCCTACTTCGCAATACTTTTACAGTATTGGACCACCATTAAAGAATAGGTGGTCAGGCTGCCAAATCTGACAGATCAGTTGACTGGTGTGTCAATCCTCCCTCAGCGCTTTGGGCCCCCACAGACAGGTTTACTTATACCTGAGTGGAGATGGAGGGGCTTGTCTTTTATCTACTGAGAATGTTTTGTGTGTTTAGCTTTGCATCCGTTTTTCAGAAATGCACTCATTTTGGTATCTAGCCATGAATCCTGAGCCAGCAGGAAACACACACAAAAAGGAGCAATGGAGATAACCGTGGGCCACCAGGAACACAGTAAGAAGAGGTCAGGGAGCCATCTTGCTCAAGGCAGGACCATCTCTTCCATCAGTTTCCTCTTCCCAAACACACGGCAGCTCCTTTGGTGCACAATCCTGAGACAACTAAAAATTATTATATCCCTTCAAGGCCCCTGTGCTTCTTTGTAAGCACATTGAAATAAGGAGATCCCTTTGCTATCTGGGCAGCTCCCCAGCAAGGGCCTCTACATCAGAGGCGCATTTAGTTCAGTGTGAGCATTGCAGCTGCACAAGGCATGCAAGCCAAGGAGGGCACCTTTTCAAAGCCAGGCAAGCGCGTGGCCGGCTTCAGGAAGGAGGTAGGAGGGCTCTGGCAGGGTCCTAGCGTCCTCCTTCCCAAAGCCAGGCAAGTGCTTACTGGGCTTTGGGAAGGTAGGAGCACTCTGGGACCTTGCCAGAGCCCTCTTACCTCCTTCCCCAAGCCCAGCATAAGTCGGCACCGCGAAGGCTGTAAGGAAGGCGTCCACTGGCCTCGCACAGGGCGTCCTATTACCAAGGCCTGCCCATGTCTGCATGGTGGCCATTTTGCGCTTCCTTTGGATGCACCCATCCTGCCAGGACTCCTCACCTTACCAGGACAGCCACCTCTGCCTCACACTAAGGCAGCCTTCATCTGGCGTGATTTAAAGCCACTTCCATGTGGAGGCTCTGCATCACTCACTTCAGAAGCCTAAGCATTTATTTGCCTGGGTAACGGAGGCTTTCTGGTGAGCTGTCAGCAAGGCCTGTATCCACTTTACTGAACTGGAAAAGAAAACTCTGCTCTAGCAAGTTAATAAAGGGCCTCTGAATATCTCAGCTGGATGTTTTTCTCCATGAGTGAGAACGCCAAATGTTAGCTTGACATTTAATCTTTAATATTTTTTTAAGTACGTTGTTTTGCCATTTCAGTCCAGCACATTGCAGTTACTTTCCTAGATCTTTCTCCCCAGCCTCAGTGCTGATTGTGGTCACCTGTCCCCCTGCCAAACACTAGGGATACTGCTTCATGCATTCTCTCCATGCACACAGACCCCATTTTATCTCTGCCAGGTTAATACTTATAACATTTTGCTATGGGAGGGGCTGCACATTTACAGCTGGCCTTTATTTTAGGACTTTGCAGATCTGTGTTGCTCAAGATGTACCAGATTTGTTTTTCAATTTATCTATTTTTTAAGTATGGGTGTTCGTTAGAGGTGGAAAGATTCCCTTTTGGTGTGTGAGGCTTTGGGGAAAGCCCCTCTTTTCCAGGAAATGTTGTGGAGTTTTCTGTAAATAGACAAACAGCTGTTTTCCTCAAAAGTGTGGAATCTAGGGAGATGCAGAAAGAAAACTAATGTGAAATGCCCAGGGGCATATTACTCCCAGATAGTTTTTTCCTCCCAGCTTGGGAAAGGGGAGGCAGGATTCCCAGCTATACCTCCAGGCAAGATGGCATTTTGACCTCTGGGGAAACTTACAAGCTTGCATCTTTGGTGGGCTGAAAGATTCAAAGCTATGGTAAAGGCTTTGCAACCTCCCATTTCACTCTGCCTAGATGGATAGAGGGAACGGTGCTCTGTAGTTTGTTGTCAGAGAGGGCAGGCCCTGTGTCTTTTTGCTATTTAATCCTGTTTCTTTCTCTTTTTTTCTTTAAAAGCATTTTTCAGATACTTCCACCAATTATTTTACATATCAAACATCTCTAGACAATGCAAATAGACCAATAACAGCAAAGGTTTATTTAATAACAGCGTTCCTGGAACATCATTTTCTAGGTTTGCATTATAGTCAGAGCTATTTGAGAGCATCTTGTTCAGTATAATTAAGCAATAGATTTTAAAAGGTCAAGAATGATCAGCTCAAGAAATAGCACTGCTTGCCTTGATATAGTCATGAAGGCAGGTGGATGGTCTCAAAGCATAAAGCTGGCACTTCTCTCTCTTTGTAGCATACTACTTATGGTTGGGTCTTCCTCCTCCTCCTCCACTAAATCTGCTAATTTCACTTTTTCTACCAAATAGTTGACAAAAAAGAGATGCATCGTGCTTTCAGCTAAAGGAGCTGACTTCCCTATTACTATTTACATTTTTTCCCTCCCTCCTTCCCTTTCTGGAAATAATTAAGATTATAGGATTGTTTCTGCTTCTAGCTACTCATTTCTTTGTGCATTCTGGTAGTGCCCAAATAATAGTTTTGGAGATGGAGACAGACACTCATTATTAGGGGAGGAGGAAAGGGAAAGCAACCCTCCTCTGGTACCTAAAACACCCCAAATGTTCCATTGCATATCATTTGTTTGTTTGTTTGTTTGTTTGTTTGTTTGTTTGTTTGTTTGTTTTAAAGAAAAGCATTTCAAACCTCCCAATCTTCATGTACCTTGAGAGCTAAAAAGTGGGTGGGTGGACAGGACATATATTTCATCTGAAAGTTTTCAGTGGATCCAAAAAACGGTTTTCTTTCTTTGCTTATCAACATTTAATATCAATATTAACACAATGTGTAGTCTAAAACTAGTTCCTTTGTAGTTTGCATGGGATGTGAATGCTGTCTCGACGTGCCCAGATCTAGAAAACTCGTTTTACTACTGCATGAGCATCAAATCAGATGTTGAAAAATATATATTTTTGTGATAATTTGGTGAAACTGAGCACCTACCGTCTCTGGTTGCAGTAGTGTGTTGAATGGTTGTTTTTTTTCCTTCTCTCTTTATACATATTTCTATATATTTGGAGCTCCAAGCTTCTTAGTAGTATGGGCTGACTATTATTGAGTACTTGCTCTCCTATCGCATGGCCTTGGTTAAGTGTTAGAAGTTGGACCTAGGCTGTTTTCTTTTCTTTTTTAAGTGTTTGGCTTTGTAATAACTGTGCATGCTCGGCTTCTGGCCTCATACCCAGCTTTATTCTCTGCACACCAGTCTTGAATAGCTACAGTGCTCAACCGAATTTTGGCGCACCCGCTTCCCCGGCAGGCTCCAACCCAGCCCGGCCCGGAGGATTCCCAGGGGCGAACAGCCCGGGTCCCGTTGCAGACCTCTACGGTACAGCCAGTCAAGACTCCGGTGTTGGTAACTACATAAGTGCTGCCAGCCCCCAGCCAGGCTCCGGCTTTGGGCATGGAATTGCTGTAAGTAGTCCTCTTTGTTCCCCCGTTTCTCCTCCTAGCGGGTCCTGGGCTCTGAAATGAGCAGAGTTAGCTGCCAACGAGTGCAATCCCTCCCACCGCTGTCAGGGTAGGCTCCTGTTACAGAAGCTACTACACTTTCTAAATAGGCCTTCAAAGCCACACAAAGCCTGTCACGTGTATTAGAAGCTAAATTGAATCTATTTGTGTGGCTCTGCCTTTGCCCCGGCATCCTCTATGGATTCCATATACCTGAAGCTTCACTTTCTTTTGATTGTAACAGCAAACCGTTACACTTCCCTTGCAAGGTACAATAAGACTTCATTCAGCCAGACCACATATTCAGATCTTTTGCCAGATACTGGACTTGCATTGTGCTCCGTTATTCCAGATAAACGTCAGCTGCTGAGAGGTGTCCATTTGACAGAAGTTGCACTGTGTATTTATTTCTGTAAAGGGGGGGGGGCAGAGATTTCCTCTGATCCATCAACCTGCACAGCACACCAAGTGTCGTTTTTTTTTAAATTTTAGCAATGTGTGTGCACTTCTGTTTAAGGAAACCTGTTAAGTTTTTTTCATAGCAATCTTACCCAGGTGAGAGATCTCACTTTAGTGCTCCCACTCGAGCAGCTGAAAGATAACAAATGCCACAATCCTACAAAAACAGGAGTGCTTAATTTCCAAAGGTGTGCTTAAGTTTTTTTCTGGCTATAAGCCACCCCACCCCACCCCCACAAAAACGCTTACATGAGCTAATTTTGAGATCCTAAAGTACAGGTAGATCTCCACTTACATGTTACATTCCGGCTATTGTGCATATAAGGGAAATTGCACAAAGGCAGAACGATCCCCGGAACAGCTCTTCACAACCATCCCTCCCTGTCTAAAGTCGTCACTGAGTGGGCCTCGCCCCCCCCCCCAACCCACTTTGCCTATTGGGCTCTGGAAGGCCCTGGAGGGCTCCCGTGAGATCTCACAGGAGCCATTGCGTAACCTTAGACGGCCTTCCTGGGGGTTTTCCCTGATCTCCCACCCCTCCTTATTTTAATTTTTTTTTCTGTGATCTGTGTAACGCTGGAATCACGTATGTAAAATCAGTGTAAGATGAGATCTATCTGTACTCCTCCAAGCAACTTCCATACCCCAAAAGTTATAAAGGTTGATAACTCTGCTCATGCTCCCAAGAATCTTGGAGCAGCTCCTTGCACCCTAACCCTTTGTCAAAAGTAGATGTATGAATATGCATAGGAGCAATTTGCAGGAACACTCCTATAACCTTAAAACAGGAAGCAAGGAATGGCCTGTATCACTTTTTCAAATTTTAGCTGGGCTAGAAATGAAGTACTGATATAATAACACTTAGCATGGAAAGTTGCCTTGCTCTGCACCTTTGGATTCACATCACCAGAACAGGGGCTTCTTTCTGTGCCATTATTTCGTATTCAGTTTTAAGATCTAATCCGTTTTTGGAAGGTGGAAAAAGGTTGCATAGTGTGTGGGTGGAGGAATGGTTATGTGAATCCAATTTATAAAGAACTGAAGTTGTTGCTTTAAATCTGTTCATCTGCAAAAAAAATTTTAACGTATTTTTTTCTCAAGCCAATACAAGATGTTTTAGTATTAATGTGGTGTGATTATTAATTTGGAAGCGGAAAATTACTAATTTTCGAGTGGAAATTTTGCTCAACAAATTTGCATGCAAGTCCCCCCCCCCCCCATCTCAATTCTACTGTGTTCAATTGTGTGTGTTAGCATGAATGTCTGACGCTGTTTAGTGGCCAGTTAACCAAATTATTTTAAGCCAAACGGATTATTCCTGTCCATTTTCTTGTATCTGGAGCTATATCCTAATTAACCCAAAGTGCAGACAAAGTTCCAAAAGTGTTTTACTGCGTTAAAAAAGTTAACACCCAGACATGTATGGTTTTTGTTTTAATTCCATTCCCCTTGTAATGTCAGCTGGGTAACTTGCAAAATCCCATTGGATCAGCTGTACAGTGAAAGACAGATTATTATTCTGTTAAGACCTACATCAATCTAAACTGCCATCTATCACCACTTTGCAACACCCCTCATTTCCATTTTTCGCCTAAAGAAAGAAAAGATCGGGTTGTTCTTGAAAACGTGTGCGCTGTTGACCTTTTGCAGCAGCCTGGCTTCCAAAGAATAATACAGCACTCAGCATTGTGCTTTGTCTGCACTAATGTGGCCTTTAAAATTATTTTGTGTGTGCCTGCACACAGCTGGCTCTTTAATTTTACGTTCAATAACATTCTGCAGAAAGAAGCTGCCTTTTTAATACCTTTCACGCCATCCATTTACTAACAGCAGCTTAAGAAATTTACTTTTCAGATGTGATCTTGGAAAAATATCCCTAGAATTGAATCCACAGAGATGTTAGCAGGACTAGATTGCAGCTTTTCTAAATATTCATGCTGGCACCACACACACTTGAGACTTTTGATAAATCCATGCAAAAAATAAATAAAAATCACAATCTCTTCCCATGTATCACACTGATGACATTAACAATTGTACAATTTTAGGGGCCTTTGATTGCAACGGCTTTTACAAATGGATACCATTGAAACGTTACACAGGGTTGGTTGCCATCTCACTTGGAGGTATTCCAGTATATAGCATTTATATTTTCAACTATGTCCCTTATATTTTGTCAATTTTTTTACATTCTTACACTTTTCTTTCTTCCTGTCTTTAAATCCTTTTTTCCTTGTAAGATTATTACTATTATTATTATTATTATTATTATTATTATTATTATTATTCAGTTTTCTGGGATGGAAAGTGGAAAGGGATCCTGAGCAAATTTTGCTAAGTGTCTTTACATTTATTCATTTTATGCAATCGATTGATTATTCAAAGAGCTGTTGAGGAATCCTCAACCTTCTCTGAGCATTTTTTTTAATAAGTACCATTAATGTGGACTAGAGACTTGTGGAAAAAGCAGCATTCAAAAGTGCAGTGCTTTACTGCTTCAAATCCACCTCTAAGTGCTATGTCAAATCCTGTAGCACAATAAGGACTGTTAGTACTTTCAGAACAGCTACCTCAAATTAAAACTATCCACTTACTAATGTCCTATCTGGATCCCTGCCTGTTTCCTACCCTTCAACTGACCACCCCAATGTGGGGTCTTTGCATATCAAATTATAAATATTCAGTCTAAAGAGTAAAAACAACTCCTAGAAAACAGTCCATGACCAGATTATATACACATATATCTAAATGTGGTAAATGCTTTATTTTGCTGCTAATTGCATGCCTTCTAAATTCCAAATCAATGCATGGAATTAAAATAATGATTGCTAAAATTAGGAGAATTTGGCATGATGCTTGTGAAAGGCTTTAGGAATGTCAGAGGGGTGAATAAGTATATGGTGGTGTGGTTTAAGTGACCCAAGGTTTTTCGACCATGAACAAATGAGTTTTTAAAAAGGTTCTCAAGGATGCTAAGGCATTTGAGTTGCATGTGTTCCACACACACACCCCTTGCAAAACACATAACAATGCTCCATGCTCTGCATCATACCCAGAGTGTGACTTGAGGGCACGCGATAAAGATACCTTGCTGAAACTAAGCAGGTCTGAGTCTGGTTAGTGCCTGAGAATCCCATATATGCCAGCTTGAGCTCTATGGTGGAAGAAAGACAGGGTATTACATGTACTGAAATAAATAAATTCTGTACTCGTCACTAACCTTTAGAACATGCAGTTGGGGAAGGGCCATAATTCAGTGGTCAAGCCTCTGCCCTGCAAGCCAATGGTCCCTGGTTCAATCTCCAGCATCTCCAGGTAGGGCTGGGAAATATTTGCCCACCTAAAATCCTGGGGAGCTGCTGCCTGAGGTGGATGCACCAATGGTCTGACCTTCAGTATAAGTATATGTTTCTGTGGAGTATGATCTAAGTGACTGGCAGTGAGATACAACAAAAAGAAAACCAGGACACCATTCTAGGTGAATCAGGGTCTCAAACTGGTGCCATTAACGGTTGCTTGCTTATTATGTTAAAGTTACTAATAGCAACCAGGTTCAAATGCAGTCTTGCTACTCACAGAAAAAAACACTACAAGAGCAATTAAAAATGGTGTTTTGGTGCTAACAAGTGTTAACCAGGTAACCATACGGCATTAATTCACCCAGTACCCACATGAGCGCTGTAACCGCCATTAACAAGGCAATAAGCAGTGGCTGAAATAAGCCCATTTCAAATGAAGAGCATCTCTGTAATTTGTGCGCCATGTTTTCTTCACTCCACTAGGTATCTTCTGCTGTAGCTTCAGAGACATCTAGTCCTCTGTGAGCCTTGTTGAGAATACCTTTTGCGGCAATCCTTGTTTCTTCTTGACAACCACACAAACACACATCTTCAGGCAATAACGGGCCCTGGATAGCCTTTCCTAACCTGTTCCCAATTACAGAAAGGTTGTACCATTTGGTCCACATACTTCTGCCAATCATTATTTTTATGCTTAACATTGGAGTCCAGTGAAGTCCTTCGCACACAACATTTCAGTAATTCTCACAACAGCCCTGCATGGTAGGTAGGTAGGAAGAGCTGCAGATCGGAGTTGAGGCAGAGGTACAAGCATAGCTCAGTTCATGGCTGAGCTAAGCTTTAAACCAGGATTTACTGGTTCATAGCTTCCTCTCCAACCTGTATTTTTCACGTCTCCCCCTAAACACCAAGACCACCAAGCAGGAAAGAAGCTTGGGGATCAGAAGCTCAGAGGTGTCAGGCTGTGCTACCTCCATCCACTGCAGCTGCCTTGTCTGACAGCTTCCCATAAGCCTATTGGAAAAGCCAAGCTACTCAAGAGGTTTACAGAGAGGCCTTGCTTGAAACAGACCCAGAGCCTGATAGCTGAGTGGGCACAAACTGGCAAAAAAAAAACCTAGCCATGGCTAATTCCTACTGGCACCAGCATGATTTGAGTTAGCTGTGACTCAAGTTTCGCTCTGTTGTTTTCAAGTAGGACTTTGCCACAAATGACTTTTGCTGCCTTAAACCCAGGGCCTTGCTCTGAGAACGTCTTCTAGGGAACTTCCTTGATATGTGAGGCCTGATTTCAGGTGTGTTGGGAGAAGGTATCCCTTCTGGCACCAGGCCAAGTAGAATGAAAAGAGCTTGGTGGATAGAAACATGAAGTTAATTTTTAGAGAGGCAGTGTGAACACACGTTATTTAGTTGTCTCATTCTCACTGATTATATTGGCTGAAGCCAGTAAGAAAAATAAAAAATTAGGTACCAGTGGGATTCAATAACAATCACTTCCATATCCAAGTCATTATTACAAATGCAGCATGCCTCTTTCTTAACTCCACCAGGGCGCTTAGTTACACGCCACTCTCTCTTCCCTTGTCATGTCACGCTCTTTATTTTTGCCCTTCAATGCACCCACCACCACCTCCATCAAAGAGCACAGGTTCACCTTCATACTTGGTTTTGAAGTCCTGTGAAGAGGGCCTGTTTCAGAAAAAGGAAGACTTTACATCAACTATTGGCATGCTTTTTCATCCAAGTTGTTTGCCAACCACATCTCTTACTTTTCAAAAAAAATGTGTAAATGAAGTTCCCCCACGGGTTCCTGGAGAGCAGCCATGTGTCTGGGATGGCTCCTCCCTCTGGCTGGATCCAATTATGGTCCCAAGTAGATGAGACTACCCAGGGGGAGGGAACATCCTTCTCACCCGACCACCCTGCCTCATGAGCTGGATGGTTGGGATCAACTTGAGCTCCTAGCTTGTCTTCTGTATTTTCTTCTTCTGAGTGTTTCTCTCTCTCCTGCCTCCCCTTTCATTCCCCATCTGCTGTTAGAAACTGGGGGCATTTGGGAGGCTGCTCCTGTAGCACAGGAGCTTTGTGGTTCACACTGGCACAATTGCACAGAAGAGGAGGAGGCAGAGAAAGAGAGGAGCCCCAAGTGGGACGGTGGAGAACATTGTGCCCAGATGGCTGAGAGGGTTGGCACAATTGCTCATCACAGCAAGCAGGCACCATGAGATTCACGGAGGTGATGGAGAAGCCTGCAGAGCCCATTTGGATCTCTCCCCACCCGCATCTCAGCCTTGGCTGGCATCAGCAGCCAAACACTATGCCCCGCAGCAGGGCAAAGTCACCCTCAAAGGGAAACGTGTTTTAAGAACCAGAGGCCTCTGAAGCAGGTGAACAGGACAGACGTCCAAGGAAGGCTAAAGCCCTGGGCTGCAAGTGAACTGTCAGTGGAGGGGGTTAAGTCCTCTCAATACTGCGTTTGTCTGGGGAAAAGGAATTCTGCCAGGTCCACACCAGCAACAGGCCCTTCCCTACCATTGCAGTCCCCCTGTCCAGGACTGGAAAGGGGTAAATAAGTACGCAAGTCCCATTGAAGGAAGAATGAAGCACTAAGTCAGCATTCCTTCTGCCCTCTTCCTCTTCTCCCTCCTCTTTCCTATTCTCCATCTTCTGGACACAAGTGGTCCATCTTAGTGGCACATTCCATAAGGCATGGAACCAGCAAGGCCAGCCTGTTCAAGAAGGCATACAGCAGGAAGTTAGAATGCCTAGGGCAGAGGCTCTCTTGAGTGCTCCCTCTCCAGAGAGGTCAAAGCAAGGAGGCTCCTGGAACTGCTGTAAGTCAAAAGCTGCCTTTCCAGACCAGCGGCACTGCATGGCCCTGCATCACTCTCCATGTTCAAGAGTTATGAAAAGCTGAATGGGGCATACCAGGAAAACATAAACCATCACACAAACTAGTCAACAAGCGACACTACTTCCTGCCTAAGCTGATGGGGAAGCTGAATGCACCAGCAGTAGATTCCCCCAGGAATCCATGATAAACATGCAGAGGCAGGTTGTGGGTGGAGGAGCTGGCCAACAGGGATGATGTCTCCAAAGCCCATAAGGATGGTATGAAGAAAAACTCTTTTGGGGCAACACGCAGTAGGAGGGGCCATCTCACACATGACTTCCTTCCAAGAACCCCAAGGAAACAGAAGTTCTTCTCACTCACAAGTAACTCCAACCTATAAAATTTTTAAAGGGTTTGTCTCTAATTTTGAGGACCTTGTGGCTCCACAGTGCACGACCTTAAAAGGAAGACAACACTTGGAACATAGGAAGGTGCCTTATACTGAGTCAGACACATTAGACCATATAAATGGCTCAGTGCTATCTACACGGGTTGGCAGCAGTTTTTCAGGGTTTCAGACGGGGTCTCTCCCAGCTGTACCTGGAGATATCAGAACTTGAACCTGAGACCTTCTGCATACAAAGCATGTGTTCTGCCACTGAGCTATGGCCCTGGGACCAAGTTATTGTCAATATTAACATCCCTGGCACTTAACATAACCCTGATTTTCTTGCATGGACCTAGAAGCAGAGAGTCCCTGTTTGCAGCATTAGCTCCCTGCCTGTTTCTGTTTTAAGGGTAATTCATATTATGTGTAAGTTACCATCTAAGCTCCCCTTGTAGGTCATTTGCCTAAGAGTCTCAATCACCCCAGTTCCTCTTTCCCTATCACATTTCTCGGCAGATAGGTGCAGCTACCACATGAATAATAGACTCTGTGTGTATGCTGCGGTGCCACTAGAGCGGCAGAAAGCTGGAGAATTTGATATTAGCCACCGAAATCAGATTCCCTAAGAATTTTAAAAAAGAAAAAGAAAAAAGATTAAATTCTGACCTTATACCTGGAAGCTGCGCCCGCTAACATTTCAGAAGTTGGGAGTGGGGAGGCTAAATCTGCTTTCCACCAGTCAGGGGAGGGGACTCGTGCGTGCCGAATAGCTGCTCCCTGTGAATCACAGAATAAGGAGGCACACAACATAATTGCATAGTGTATTTAAGCACCAGAATTCCACTTTCCCTGTTTCTGAACTTGAGCTGATGTGGTGCAGCATTTTGATATTCTTAACCTGGTTGGTTACACACAGCTCTGGATATCAACATGCACAAGTCCCTCGCTCTTTAAGACAAATGTATGGTGGCCTGTTGGGAAACAAATGACATCCCAGGTACACCACCTTCAAAGTGTGACCATAAAACCCATAAAAAGGCCCCTAGAACTAGTAACATGTCTCTGAAGTGTTGGCTATAATTTTTGTTGTTTTTATCTATTCACACACTCTCTCTCTTTTTTTCCTTTTCCAAAAACGCGCTGTAGAGTATATCTGGATGTCCAGGCAAGACAGGGCGAAGTTTCTGAATGGTTCCATGTTTAGGTGATACATCATCAATCAGACTTTGAGCATTGCATCATCACCAATAACCCACACAAACTGGAGGTGGCATTCAGCGGACTTGGGTTGTCCACAATCTCTATCATCTCACAAACCTGCTGTACTATATAGAACAACAGCTTTTTAAAGAAAAGAATATGTGTATATATATATAATCCATTTTGTTCATTTTATTATTTTTCTTGATGTTTTTTCCCCTTTGAAATCTATTTTAATCACTCTTTTGTAGTATTTTGACATAGGCTTGTAGTCACGTAGACCTACTACTTTGTGTATTTAGAAAAAGCCTAACCATAATATAACTGTTTATATATTACGAGGATTTATTTTTTGGGGGCGGCTTTGCTTTTTAATAACCTCCCACCCCTTTATTTTGTTTTATGTACTTTCGTCGCTTAAAAGAAGCTGAAGTGGTAACACGATTCTCAGTTGACTGGTACCAATTCTGAAGCTAAAAAAACTTTTTTCAGGTGGAATTTAGCACACACTGAATTTAGAAGTAGAGCAAGCAAGACAAGTGAGCGGACATATTCTATTTATGCTGTATAGGGAATGGGAGGCTGGCTCAGTAACAAGATCTCTAGCAGTTCTTTGTATTAGTTAACCTAATTATATCTATTTTCGGCAATAAGGCAAGGACCACAAAGTTTTTTGTGCGTCCTTTTTCTATAAGTGCATTTTTTTTGTTGTTGAAAAAGAGGCGATATAAGGTTTTTTGAAATTGTGATTTCTGAAAAATAATAATACTGTAAATACAATTCCATTAACTTACATATAAACTATTAAAAAAGAGAAATGCATAATATTTTTGTGATGGAGTCAGACTAAGGCAGTTTCTGTACTGAACGGAAGAAAAAGACAAAGATTAGGGGCCCCCGATCTGCTGGAAGCTTCTCTTCTGCAAGTGCTTTGGCGTGAACAGAAGAGGCCCAAGGGCAGGGAACTGCCCTTCCTGGCTCCCGTTCATCTCGCCAGCACATGGAACGGCAAAGCTCCCAGTGGGTCGCACCCTGACATTTTTAAACGTTTGAGATCGACTGCCAGAGCTGGCCCATAGCAGTTAGATCAACACTGTTTAGCTTGCTCTGTAGGTGTTAGACCTTATAACTGTACTAGCGTCATACCAGCATATTAACTAGACATCTGTGCACAGCTTATAAAGTAACAGTCTAGTTACATTTTTAAGTTAAGAAGGAGGAAAAAAACTGCTTTTCCCAAGATTGAAAAAGCTACAAATATAATATTTAAGACGGTATTTAAAAATCCAAGCACACTTTTTTTAACCATTCTTTAGATCACCTGACTGACTGTCCATCCATTTCAGCCACCCTGACGCCTTCTATAGCTCTCTGGCCAAGCGAGTCCACTTGGAAACTCCCACGCTGTGGGCAGGGGGTGCAAATTAAGCCTTGCATCTTCTCACCTCATCCATTCTTTCCTATATTAACAAATTAGGGAAAGCAAAGGTTGTTTTTTTTTAAAAAAAAGAAAATATTGTTCTGAATACCTCAGTGCTACAAGTTTATCACCCTAGACGCAAGAGAAGATTTAATTTATTGTAGATGAAAACAGATTTGAAAAAAAAATGTATAAAAAACATCATTGCACTGTGACTGGTAGGGAAAAACTGACAATTTCCAATTTGCACATGTTTAATGTTTGGCTGTTATATATATGGTCCTCTGCTGGGGAGGAGTCTTATGAAGGATATTTTTTAATTTAATTTTTTAAATATGGGTCAAATAGGCCAGCAACAGCAACTCGAAGTACAACACAGTAGGTGATATTACAAGCATAACTATAGTGTGGATATATTCTTTTTTTTAACATTAATATTGACAAGGTTTATTAATATTTTTTTAAATTGTTACGTTTATAAATTTGGTACTCTAGGTACAGCCAGAATAAGACACTGAATGCGACATTTGTTAAGAGAAAAAAAAGCTGCTGCGCTCCTATTTTTGTAAAACTTTACTAACAAGTAGGCTAACATAGTTGTTCAATAGACAAGTTAGAGCAAAGCATCTTTGAACACTCACCGAGGCACCATAATGCTAACCGTAAGGAGGGGGGGGAGGGTCTTGTTTTTAAACAACAAAAAACATGGGTTTCTTTGTTTGTTGTTGGTTTTGGGTTGTTTTTTGTTTGTTGGTTGGTTGTGTAATGTCTTTGGTTGTACTATTATTATTATTATTTTCTTATTTCAAAACAACCAGGTTTAAAAGCCAGAATGCTGGACGCTTTTTAAAATGGAGACTTGATCAAGTAGTACACTAAATAATAATAATACTATTAATAATAATAAAGAAAGAAAAGTAATTAACTGCAAACCAAATTCCCTGAGAGTCAAGTGTGTAAAAAAAAAGTCAGGGAATTTTTTTTATTACTCTTTAATCAATGTAGATGACATCAGAGTACCACCTATCAGGGACGACCTCTCTGAAGGCTCCTTTCAAATGATGTAGAGTTCTCCCTCCCAGGAGCTCTGCGCAGCTCCCATTCATTTCAATGGAGCTTTCCTGTGAGGAGTTCCCGGGAGCGTGTGCCTGTACTGTATACTACCATGTGTTCCTCCTCGTCATTCATTCCCTGTCACCTCATAGCAGATTATTTGATCATTGTTGTATGTTAATAATGTATAAAAATGACTATCTTGTAAGAGTGCTGTCCTGATGCTAGTGTAGTGACAAACCCCAACCCCTTCTCTTTTCTTCTCTTTCTTCCTCTTCTAGTACATATTGGTAGTTGTATCGTAATTAAGGTTAAATACATAGATGTAGTTATTCAGATTTAGGACCAGTAAGGATAGAACTTTCTCTTATTTAAGACAAAACGAAATGCTAATAATTTTGGGCAGGTGTTTTTTTAAAACTTAAATTTTCTTTTTGTGTTTTTTTCTTTCTGCTGATCTCATGTGGTTTCAACTAACCAAAGGTCTCACAATGTTAAAAAAAGAAGAAGAAGGAAAAAAATGCTAGCAAAACCGCTGCGGCATTTTATAGATTCCCCCACCCTTTGACTTTTATAAAGAGGGTGTGCCATACTACCTTAAATGCTAACGCTAGATATGCAAAACTGGATTTTTTTAATTTATTTTTTAAAATAAAAAAAGAGGGAGGCATGGTATAATAAAATGATTTTACTAAGAGAAAAAATATTTTTTTAAAAAAGAATGCTCAGAAGAAAAAAATTGATAACCTGTGTGAATATGTTTTAGATGTTTCTATACCTTTTGAAAAGCCCCAGTGGCCCATAGCACAACTTGTGTGGAACCTGGTATGTTTCTGAAGTGGCTTCCTAGGCTAAGGTTCATTTTAGTTCCCTCACTCATCTAGAAATCTGTTTCAGAGGATTTGGGTTCCTTTGTTTGTTTTTGAAAACAATTAATTTAGCACAGAAGGCTCAGCTGCGTCATTATTTTAGTCAAGGTGAGCAGGCAAAAAGCCCCATCTTCAGCATCTCATCATTTTGTTCCAAACTTCCCCTTCCAAACAATGCCTTGGAGTTAGCAAAAACCAAAATGCAGGAGCAGAATGGTGTAAACAGGGATTGAAAAGCACCACTCAAGTACTGTGGTGGATTCTTTACACACCTCCATGGAGGAAGCATTGGAAAATGCTGCTTTGTGCCTCAAGTTAAAAGTTAATTTTTAAAACAATCTTGTGAAAAACCAGAGGCCAGGAAACTCTATGAGAAATTCTCTGCTTGTTTCCGTGGCGTCTGGATGTCAAAATTGATCTAAAAGTTTGGAAAGAGCTTGGCATGAAATCCTGGCATACTTTTCTTTTTTGCTACTGACTTGAACAGAGGGCCAGAATTTCACTCACGGGATATTGGGAGTTTTTAATTCACATTGCCTGTTTCTCCTCCCACCGAAGGTGTGGAGAGGGGAAACAAAACACACCCCATCCAATCTTAACTTGATTAAAATGAAGAGCAACCTGTCCCTTTTTTGTTTCCTATTCTACATAATGTTCATTTTAATTTGAATTTGTAGCTTGGACTTTAAGGTAGCATGGCTCTGTTGCTGTAATTTTTTTCCCCTTGTACAGCAGTATATACACAAGCTGATGAATGTTACACATCTTGCTAGGCTAGTTGAATCATTGGGTAATTGTTGGTAAATAATAATGACCTGAAAGGTGTACAGACTTTTTTTAATTTTCTCTTCTCCATCACCCCAGCTATTAACCCTGTACGATTCTTTCAATCTTGAGTGTGAATGAGGGCTAGGGACTCCAGCCACCAAACCACCCTGTTTCATTTGCCATCTAATTCAATGCAACATAAAACAAAACTAAAGCAATATAGTTTTCCTACATTTTTTTCTTGAAGGTCAGCCATGGTTGTGTAATATATATATTGCATATGAAATTGTTTACAAAAAAAAAATACTAACTACTTATTTTTTACTCTTGGGTGTATTTGTTTTGAAAGGTTTCCTTTTTGTTTTGTTTTGGGTTTTTTTCTGAAAAGCAAAATGGTTGGAAGAGCAAACTGAAGCTAGTCTAACTATGTTTTGAGTGACAGGGGGCCTTAGACACACTGGCAGATTCCCAAAAAATCTGCATCAATACACTGTAGAGTTTCATAAAGTGCGCAGAATCTAATTCCAATCCATTTTCTCACTGTGTGCAAGCACTACATGAGATTCTGCAAGCTAAGCAATACTTTAATACTGTAATAAAAAAATTACCAAAAAATAAAAGGAATTCAAAATCAAAGTGATCTGTTTGCCAGTTACCAAACAATCAGAATGTATTGTCTTGATAGAATTTTGTTTCAGACAAAAACAAACAAACAAAAAAAGAAGTCACCCGTGCTATAGAATAACCTGTGTTTGTACATATGCCAACACCACCACACATGTGTGGGATGTGAGTGTCAATTGAATTCTAGTGATAGCAAAATAATCTCACTGTATATGTTGTACGTTTTGAATTCCATCAGTAAATCCAATGCAAAGTCTCAGCATTTTCAGGTGGTTCTAAATGTACTTAATCAACAATGACACAGTGGCCAGGCCTAGCCCCTTCCTTTTATATTTTAGTATGAACTGATGCGAACTTTGGTAGTGACTTTTTATATACATATATAAATATATATATACATACATATATATATATACGTGTATCTATATATATCAAGCATCTTTCAGGTCTCTGTGTATGGCTTTCCGAAGCCCTGTTGTAAAAATATACTACATGGATGGGGGTCTCTCACATCACAGATGTGGAAAGTATAATTTTATATTTGTATTTTCAAATAAATAAGTTTGTGAAAGGTTTCCATCCTCTACTGTGGTCCAGAAAATCAATGTGTTTGTCTCAGAAAAAAATAATAAAAAAATCTGTTTTGAACAGTGTTGTATGATGTGTCATTTGCATCAATCGCTTGACACCTAGCTGTTAATGTCTATTTTTCCACTTCCCTTACCTGCATTCATCTCAAAAAGGTGCCCATATGCTCTGGTTAGTCAATCATCATTTCTTAATTACTCTGTTACAGCGGACAAGGTGTTCTACGCATTTCCACATCTGCTAGGGAGGAGACGTAAACCTACCTGGCATGAAGGTTCTTTTCTTGATAGCTAGATGCCCCATTCTTTTAATCATGCTTGTCTCCTGTGCATCAGAACTCTGAAAGGCAAAGTTTCAAGAAAGACTTCAGAAGGATGTGTGTGACATCATAGCTCCCAGGGACTCATGGATTATTTTTCCACAGTCCCCGCCAGGTGGGTGCTTGCAAAGAGTCACCGGGACTCTTAAAAACTAAAGCATCAAACAATTTATCAAGCCACCACCAACTAGCAACAACTTGACCATTATGGTTTTGGCTAACAAGAGGTGTTTAACTGCCCGTCGGATGCAATTGCCTTGGAAACTGGGGCTTTCCATATTTTAAATGACTAATTTTTATTTCTTTTACTAGCTATTTTAAATTGAGGGTGTTGAGAAAGGCTGGCATGGCTTTGTTCTCTTGGGAGCTGCACCATGGTACTAATTATTAAAAACCAGCCTTCTGCATCTCTAGGTTCCTTGATTCAAAAAAGCTTATCACTCTTTTCTTTTACAAAGAATATTAGAGCTGCCTGAAGAGGCGCAAGGACCTGATAGCATATAGTTGGCGCCTTCCCTGTGGAACACCCTCGCACCAGATGTCAAAGAGAACAACAGCTACCAGGCTTTTAGAAGACATCTGAAGGCAGCCCTGTTTCGGGAAGCTTTTAATGTTTGATGTATTATAGTATTTTAATATTCTTTTGGAAGCCACCCAGAGTGGCTGGGGAAGCCCAGCCAGATGGGCGGGGTATAAATAAATTATTATTATTATTATTATTATTATTATTATTATTATTATTATTATTATTATTATTATTGTTCCTTGCCAGACTAGGCTTCAATGTATTTCTAATTTTGTATTGGGGGGGGAATGCAGTATGACTCTATCCAGAGTGATATCAGAAATTAGTCTACAAAGGTTTGCTTCAGACCCCAATTCAGGCAGAACATCACTACCACTTTGCATTCACCACAAGGGTAGGGGTATTTTTTGTACTGGGATGGGGAGCTCTTTCCCATCTGACTTACTGTTATCTACACCATGAAGATAACAGCTGGTGGCTCCTTGGGGCAATTAATTCCTAGGGCTAAAATCAAGAGGGAATGATGCAACAGGTGTGGGGAGCCAGGTGAGGGCAGAAGTGCTGTAAGGAGAGCCCTGCAGCTGGATCAGACCAAATGCCCTCATTTATACCAGCAGCATCACAGTGGCCAAGCAGATGCCTTTGGGAAGCAGGCAAACAGGATCTGAGCACACCTGTACTGTCTCTCCCCACTTGTGATACCCAGAAACTGGTATACTGGTTCATGGTGAGTTTCAGCACCTCTTTTTCTAGAAAAATAGCACTGCATAAAATATAATAAAAAATCAATATAAAACACTGCTTAAAAAAAGAGAATAAAAATGAATACACCATGGATACACCATGGATAAAACTGAGTAGTACACAAACACACACACACACACGTCTTTAAGAGGCTTTAAAGCTGATTACCAATCTCAGCCTCTCAAATGCTGAAGGGGGAGCTATCCCTGTCCAGGAATCATAGATGATGAACCAACTAGTTGGGAATGGGTGCTCTAGTGACAGTGACATATCTAGGCACAGCCCAAAATATACCACCGATCCTTCGGAGGCAGCATATACAGTGTGCTAGCTGATAAATGACAGTAGCATAGAAAATTGCATTATATCAGGAGAAACTTCTTTGCAAAAAAATAAATAAGGGGAAACTGCATACCAAAATGTGTTTATTAGTAGAAATTCACACCCTAAAATTCTGGTGAATTTTCATTAGAATCTTGTATTACTATTTTTTAATCACAAATTGTGAAAGGAATGTTGGGAACTGAATTTAAGATCAGAAAATTGAAGAACTGAAAAATGACAGTTCCATTCATCTCTACACACCCCTAACCAGAAACCCCTCAATGAATCAAAGATTGAAAGTTATAAGATACCTAGCCTTTCAGGTGAGCTGGAACTTCACATTTAAAAAAAGGAAACAATCTAGCTCCTAGTTTCATCTTAGATGGCGACAAGGTAGGAAATGGGGACGGTGGAGACTCCACAAGGGTCTCTGCCCCCTCTAAGGGCACTTCTTCCATTGCTAAAAGAGAGAGCTCAGCACTCGGGTTGCTTAACAAGAGAAGATGGACTTGGGGCTGCTGCGGTTGAAGGTCAGCGCCCTGCTGACTGCGGGATGGCCTCGTCTCTGGAAAGCAGTCAACCCATCAAAGCCTTAATGGGACTGATGATTAGTGAGGTACCGAGGGAAAAATTAGATTAGAAAAACAAATGAAAATCATTTAGGAAGTGGGGCTTATTCGCGGTGGAAGGCTGCTGCTGTATCAAGGCAGGCAGGCAACGATTTGACTTCCATCCAGGAGAAAGGAGAGCAGGTCTGGAATACATTAGTGTGGTGGGAGGCCGGGAATAGCAGCCACTTAACCCTGTCATTCAGCAAACATTAGTGAATTATGAGTGTGTTACTTGTTGGGTTATGCGCTTGCAAAATGCCCAACGGCCTCCTATATCTCAGCTAAAAATATGCTCGTGCGCCTTTGGTGTCAACAAACTGATTTTTATTTTTATTATTACAGACACTCCCCACACAGCTACCCACTCCCCAAATGATCAGAAATAAGTTTTCTGTTCCCCTTGCAGCTTCTCAAAAATTTAAATCAGAATCCCAGGCCAAGCCTGTGAAAGAAGCCAAAATTTCCTCTCCTTGTCAAATTACTACCCTTGATGAAGAAAGCAAGTCCTAGAAATGCAATTTAGGAGCTTTTCTTCATGCCATAAACAATGATGGTAGATTACAATGGGTTTAAAATGCTGTTTGAACTGTTCTTACTATGTAACCTGAGCTGCAGATAGGTGCATTGGGGGTGGGCACAATTATGGGAGGGAGAAGGAAGTTGCTTTTTGCTAATAGCTGTGGGCTTGTCACAAGAGTAAAATAAGATCCAAAATTATTCAAAGGCTGTTCAAAGGCAATTCTTCTATGAAGAGGGTTGGGTTTTTTTGTACCTTTTCTATTTAAAAATCCATGAATGGGTGCTCTGTGCCCAAAGGCTGAAGACCAACTAACTAGTTTTCAGCGAGTTGGAGGTGGTATGACAAAGACGCCATTTCCTGTGGTGTACCTGAGGCCTCTGATGAGAAGCTTCTACAGGTTTGTGAAGTACTGCCCTTTGGGTGGTCATGCCTCTATTATGTCCTTCATGAACTCTTTCAGGAAAACAAAAAACCCTCAAAACAAATGCCTGTCTCCAATCAAAGCAAGTTTCTAGATCTCATGGTAGGAGAGGATGGATAGATCAGCTGGCACACCGCCTCCCATCACCTGAGGTTTTTTAAACTGGTGATTGACCTTGGTGCTGTCTGCATGCAGAGCACGCACTCTGCTATCCATTTGTGGACTCCCGCCTTTCCTTTTCCCACAACTCATTTCCCAACTCAATGTCCTTCCGTCTCACCTACGATTCCTACATTTCAGTCCTGAACCCACCAGCTTTAAAAAGCTGCACCGTGGAAGCAGAACAAACTGCACAATTATGCAGCTATGAGGGCTGGTTGAAGTGTTAGGCACAGAGAGGCAACCACTGCAGGGGGGCAGAGGCTGGGGGACAGCTGCAGTGGCAGCCCCCCACAGAACAAGAGCTGTGTCTGCCGCGTGGCCTGTCCTGGCCCCCTAAACTAGCTGCTGCCCTCAGGTGTGGTGGAGGAGGAACTTGGGAACCTAGGAAGCTATACTGAGTCAGAACACTGGTCCATCCACCTCAGTAGTGTCTGCACTGACAGGCAGGGGCTCTCCAGGACTTTAGGCAGGGAGCATTCCCAGCCCTGTCTGGAGCTGCCACTGGGGATTGCCCAAAATGTAGCAGAGTCAGGGGGTGGGGCTTCTGGATCGCACTGGTGGCCCTTACCATTCCCTCCACAATTCATGTACAGAGGCCAGCAGCCTCATAGTTAAATACTGTACAACACTGTTGAAACCCTATCTATAGTCCAGTGGTAGCCGACCTAATTTTGTTCTTGTTGATTATTTCTTTACAGTCGTGCCACAAATCCAGTCCGAAGTAAGAGGCAGGCCATTTTTGCGTGTTCTGTGACCCATTGAGTACATCCCTTTGGCACTGGGGAGGTCAGCACAAAATGCTGGCCTCATTCCATGTCCTACCTAGGTTTCTGGGCGTCCCTGTCCAACGTGTGCACCCCCAAATTCCTTTGAACACTACTGCTTTAGGCACCAATACCTCAGGTTGCCCTCATACGCTAATCTGTTGCTGCTTTCCCTTCTGCAGGGATATAAGCCAACACTACAGCTGGTCAGGCACCATAACTAAACCCATCTCTCTACGTCGTGCTCCCCAGTCTGCAGGATGTGCAACAGTTGTCTTTGAGCCAGGGGCCTGGCCTTTTGCTTATTATTATAATTAAGATCTTAACCCGAGGTACTACAGTGGTACCTCAGGTTACAGGCGCTTCAGGTTACAGACTCCGCTAGCCCAGAAATAGTACCTCGGGTTAAGAACTTTGCTTCAGGATGAGAACAGAAATCGCACAGCAGCAGTGCAGCAGAAGCAGGAAGCCCCATTAGCTAAAGTGGTACCTCAGGTTAAGAACAGTTTCAGGTTAAGAACGGACCTCCAGAACGAATTAAGTTCTTAACCCAAGGTACCACTGTACTTCTGGGTTAGCGGAGTCTGTAACCCGAAGTGTTTGTAACCCGAGGTGTTTGTAAGCCGAGGTGTTTTTAACACAATGGAACCACTGTACAAGTTACTGATT